CCGGCCGGGGCCGGGTTCCCCCGTGGAACCCCCCCGGGTGGTACGCGCCGTGCTCTCCCCTTTGTTGCGCGTTTAGGCTGGGGTGGCGGGGGTGGGGTACGGGGGCGGGGAGGGCTCAAATTACTGCTGACTCCGCGTCCCGATTTAAACGCGGGGTGGGGGGCGGGCGGGCCGACGGCAGGCGTGCATGCTTGTTTTTCCAATTGGAAAGTTGGTCTCTCTCCGCGCAGGAAATCTGGAAATGGGGGAGGGGGCCGCGGGGCCGCGGCGAGGGGGGCCCGCGTGTTGCACTCGCGCGCCCAGGTGTTGCACCTGGGGGTGTTCCTTCCCGGGCCCGCGCGCGTCTGCACGGCGCCCGTGGCGTGTGCGTCCGGGATTTGCACGCTCGCCCAGATGTGGGATGCTCTTACAGAGTGCAACAAGCCCAAACGTAAACATCTGGCTTTGTCGGGACGTTAACTGCACACGCTTCCCCAGACCTAAAATAAGCGCATACTTTTCAAAAATCTTCGGGCGCACCTGGAATGTTAGTAAACCTGCACGTCTCGGCGTTTCACGCTTGCCCAGATGTGCGTTTTACCCTAGGCTGGCTCTCGAGTTCGCTTCTTTCATACCCTGCGCCGACGTTGTGCGTGGCATGGAGCTGTGGCAGCTCCACGCAGGCCTTAAAACAGGTTTTTTCGTATCTTAAACGTAGACAGGAAGACTCTGAATGTCTCTCAAAAGTTAAACATACCCCTCGGCTCCACTGTCTTACAGGGATGTGTTCAGCATCTGCATCTAGTTCAAAAGCGCTTCCCGGTCCTGAAACTGCACCCTAAGGCTTTCATCCTCCTACCAAGTACAAAATAGGCTTCCCTGTGCAGGAAACAGTTCACACGTCAAACGCACACATCTGCCCCGATATGAGATTTCCTTTAGGACCGCACTTAAGTCTCGTCCTTAATTGTGGTCGTGCACTTGGGCGTACCTACCCTGTTGTTGCAGGTAGACCTGAGTTTTTAGCTAGGAATTCTCGGTCTTTACGTTCTAGACCAGAACATGTTTTAAGCCTAACGTGGTCAGCTGGCCCTCACAGACAAAGCAGACTTCAAACACGTGCTCTCCCAGTTTACACTGACCGGATCCTAAAGTGCATTCATCCGGCCCTCCGAAGGCTCTTCAGCTGTGGGCTTTAGGCACATATTCTCCGATGTTCTCTGCCCCACCTGTGGCATCTCCAAACCCGGGACTTCAACCCCCGTCCTGCATCTCAGACCCAGCCCGGCCCTGAACACGCACCAACATGTTCTTATGCCAAGATTCTTCTCTTTGGTTTTCTTCCTGATCCGCTACCATTGCCCATATTCCAAAATCACCTGTCCAGGTGGAGGACGTGCTTGCTCAGGTTTTTTTGTTTGCTTTTTTAAGCTCCTGGAAAATCCGAGTTTTACTGTCTTTCTGGGACAGAAAACATCTGTGTGCTTTATAGGAAATGCAGAAAGTGCCCTCTAATATAAGATGAAAAAGAACAACGCCCGTTAGTAATTTTTTCTGCTGCC